TCAATAAATTCTTTTTCGGGTAATTTTGTATGTTCTTTTATCTCTGCCCATTTATTTTTTATACAGCTTATTGAGTAATCTATTGGTATATTTGTATATATTGATACAACATCCAGTGATATTATCCGATGATTATTTGGTATTTTTTGTTGTTTTATAAAATCACAAAAACTCCATGAGTCTTGAATGTAATATTGTGACTTTCCCAATACATTACTCAAAACTGCTCACAGATATTTAGATAATTGGTAGTACTATTGGTAACTATCGGTAGTACTGGAATGTTTTCCTTATGAAGCTTTGGTAGGCCATATATAAATGGTGCTCGGCCATTGTTGCAAGATAGTGTTCGTTTCAAATTACCTGTTAGGCCTAATTAATTTTAGAATGTTTTAAAGTATTGCAATTGTGATGTATTTTAATGTGTGATATGATGAGGCTGTTGACGAACTGTGGTTGTTATTTAAATTAATGAAATTTTTTTAACTATCTGTTATTTTAGAAAAACTGATGATGGTGGAAAAATACACCGAAACGCATTTTAATTGATAAATAGAGACAATAAATGACTGAAACCCAGGAATTAATTTTGATTTGGAATACATTTTATGTGGTACTATTGATTGAGCGATATTTAGAGTTAATCCTAAGTCATATATCCGAATCGTAGAAGCAAATGAGTAGAAACTAAACTCATTCTCATGCACATTCATAACTTACCTTCTGCAAACGCTACAAGTCCAATTGGTCGGATCCTCATTTTCAGCTAATTTACTATAACTGGCACAGTCTTCGCATACTCTCTGTGTACAAGTGGCACATGTACGACTGAAGTCGTCTGGTTTGAAAGCTTTTAGACAAACTCTACAAGCTCCTGCTCTGCTAGGGGGTTTTCCTGGTTCAGATTTTTGACAAGCCGTTGCCTGAGTTATTTGGGCGGCCGGTTTGTCTTCAGATGGCGGGGACTGTTGATCGTTAGGTGCTTGGTCAGGAACTAGTGATGGTCGCGGTCCCATTTTCGTCACAACTGAGAAAAACACTGAATTATATCAACTGTATAAGTTATTTATTGAAGACATAATGATCATTGTGGAATGCGGGCGGCTTCAAGATACGGTACTCTGAAGGGCAATTCAAGACCAAGAATCGAGCCAATGATCAAAATCTTGGACAATTTATTTTTTGTATTAAACAAAATGATAATTTGGAAAGACCTATTGATCAATGGCATTTGATTCTTATTTACGTTCGTCATCTGCCAACGGATCATCAACAACTTGTAACATGAGCCTCCCATAGAAGATGTGGGTCAAGTACAACTTTCAAAAATTTAACTCTGTTAATCGGATTTATCTTATGCAAGCTCCGCATTTCAAACACCATTCATTCAGTTTTATTTGGGTTTAGAAGTAATTGGCTGCATGAGAACCAGTTCTCAGGCCTCCTCTCTGCAATGTGTCCGATCGCCAAATAGGGGGGAAGTCTTTTATGTAAAATGCTCTAAATTTATATATTTGAAATCTCAATGTTCTAATTGCAGTTAAGTTGTAAAGTTCTATTTAGTTTTCGCAGTCCTCCTATCAGTTAGCTCCAGTTTATACTTCAAACTCATTATATCGTGTCCAACAAGCTGCAAGTTTACTTGCTGAAATAAGTGTCTTAACTGGAATTTAACTAAGTTACGAACTAGGAACGTTTTGAGAGCAAAGGGCTTTCATGAAAGTTTAAACAGGGAACCTCAAGAATCGTTACGTATGAGTCAAGTTTATCAGAATGAGGTGACAAAGTATAATGAGATATAAACTTGCTTAAATGGACAGTTTGACTGAGTGCTCATTATGAAGCACGCTGTTCAGGAAATCATGGTTTCAATTTTAATATATGATATCCTAGCCACAAATACAATACCTACTAAGGTTCTACTCGTGTGAGTGACCGTTTCTTAAAAGAGAATAGTGCCATTTTAAAGGTAACAAAATTTTCGATGACTTATTTGCTTCTTGTTAAAGTCAAAGCAAGGAGAAACTTTTACACAAATTTTGACCATTCTCAAGGTGGTAAAAATAGAAAGTAAAGCTCAGCGACACTTGGCTGAAAAGGACCTCGATTCTCTTTCTTATGATGCCTACCTTGTGACATACCACATCAATTTTCACACTATTAATTTGAAATTTAATTGTTTGTTTCAATAATTTTATTTGTAACCATCTTTGCGGAAGCTTAAAACGTCGACTTCCATGTAATTATCTTTTCACAAATCGGTTTCAAACCGATTTTCAGTAATCGATATATTATTATTCGACTATACCTTTTCTTAAATTCACTCAAAAACGTATTTTCTAGATATTTAGGAGTTGCGATACCTTTTGAACACTCAGAGCATGGTTTGTAGACTTACCTCTGTCTTGAGCAGTTAGCAATGACGACGATAGCGTTTGTTTCAATTTTCCAAAAGTTGTTCCTCCTTCTGGATTTTCCGCCGTTGCATTCGATGTTCCGGGCTCCGCTGTGACCATCTGAAAAATATCCAAAAATACTTGCTTCGAATATATATTTTTCTATTTATATTTATGCAATGGCTTTAAATCGACTCCATGCAGACGGCATTCTCTTAGGAGATATAAAGAAATTTAGACTTTCGCGCAAAGTACGGATACAATGTAGAAACAGTTATTTTTCGCACTTATCAGTTAAGGGGTACGCAATATTCAACATACGTGGAGAATCACCAAGCAAAACAACCGATACTTTGAATCGAAAATAAATTTAGCTTTCAAAAAACAGCCTATATTTTGGGTATTCGGATTTAATGACAAAAATTAGCATTTTTTTAATATCTGAATTTTGGTAGGAGTATTAATGTATTTTATCCAAAATTTTCCTATGTGGTAGCACAGGAAATCCTGGTCATTCCGACTCAAGGTTGTGCCATTCCTTGTTCGTTTGTTTGTTTGCTTCAATTATCTGCAGATTTTAAACAATTTGGTTTGATTACTATTAACGCTGAGCAAGTATTAATTACTGATATTTATAAGCTCCTGGAGAACTTAATTTGGAGCTTTCTTAACTGAAGAGTCTGCAATTACTATTGTACTGCCTATGGTATATAAGTTAAGTAAAGGTTGAAAATTATGAGGAAAACGAAATTTTTCATCTCTTCTGTGCTTTTTTACTTATAAGTCACTAGAGTAAAAGCGCCTACGACATTAAAAATTATTCAAATTTATTTCATGATCTGTTTGGACGTTTTCAATAGGTTCCCCATCATCTTACCACTTGGATGCATATTTTTCGTTAGGGACTTATTATCTAATTGTGGATGCATGAATCTACCTGAGATGGACTGAATTAATGATTCTTATTTCTTCAACTCTTCATGCACTTTCCCAATTTGAAAACAGTTTTAGTGGACAGAAAGAAGGCGAAAACGTATATTTTATGCAATACATATGAGCTTTAAAATACTTTGTTATTGTTTTTAATACGTTATTTATTAAAGCTTTTTCCTTCAAAATGTAGAAAAACGTAAGCAATGATGTATTGCCGTGTCGCCTTTTATTAACATTTTTTTATTGAAATTCCTTATGCCCTCCTTGCCTCTTACAGAAATTTTTGATTGCGTATTTAGTCTCAAATTTACGGCTTTGTATCGAAAGATCGAATTTCCTTACGACCCTTCTTACAGCCAGCAGGCATCTCCAGACTCTTCCCAAATCTTATCAACAACCATAGAGAAGCTCAGGACTCTAATCAAATCCTTAACGATCAGTAAAAGTCCAGACTCAAACAGCATCATAATGAAACAATAAGAAAATTTAATTAACGCCTTGTTTTCACTCTGGAAATCTTCCAGCTGTCCAAAAACCGTAACCATTATCCTCATTCTCTGGAATAATCCTTCATTAGTTCTACTGCTACTTCTCGACTGAGAAGTTTTTACTTTCCGTCAGTCAATGCATATTGAAAATATTGTTGGTTTTAGTTCGAGTACCTCCTTTTCCACTTTTGATGGCACCACCACATGTGTTATTATGAATTGGTCGGTGATTAATTACTCTCAATTGCAAGAAATGGAGTGATAATTTCTCAGTTCTGAGTCGACTGAGAATATTACCCGCATTAAGTGAAATTAATTAACTGATTGGTGCAAGCAGCATCGCCATCATCAATTTCGCCGAATATTTCACTAATTAGAGCGAAATTATTTGCATCATCCACCGCAGCCATAGAGTCGAATGGAGAGGCAATTTAATCGACTTTCATGCGACAGTTCGTTAAATGGGAATCAAGCTTTAGCATCCAAAGTTCTTCTGGATCGAAAATTCCAGACCTGAAACCTTCTTGAAAGTTCTGTATTTTGTTTTAAATGCTATTCTTTCAATATACAGTGAGTATATTTATATTATTGAAAATTCAGCGGTGTGTTGTTAGAAGAAATCCCATAAATTTATATTTTTCAATGCGATTTTTTTATGGTAAATTTATTTATATACACAGCTTAAGTAGGGATGTATTTTTCATATCAGTTATTAATTCTCCATTGAATACATCTAGACTTAACAGGACTTGAGGAATTTACGAGTTAAAAATATGGGGCGATAAGTAAGCAACAGATGCATTCGTTCGCGTACTTTAGTTTATTTCCAACTTTGAACTTTGCGGCTTTCAAACTGGTAAAGTTATCGGAACGAGAAAAAATTAAATTTGCAGATTTCAGGATTGCTATTTTTTGCTGAGGTTAGCACACTTTAAAATCTTTTGTTAAAATTAATTAAGCATTATTTTGACGAAATCGTCAAACGATCTTTCGATTAGTCCATTGAAGTATTTTTATTTCTGCAGGCAAAGAGCTCATTAGGACAGTCATACGTGGTGACTTTCTTCTTCGGTTTGTTCAATCAATTAATTCACATTTCAGAAAAAATTATAGTAGTTTAAGCATCACATTTTACTACCCTTTAAGAAGGTTTTCAGGTTTGTCCATTACATTAGGTTATTTGTTTTATCAATATTGGCTCAGTTCCAAACTCCGAATCCAGGTTACGCCGAATGCTGGTTAACGAATGGAAAATGTGCCGGAAAAGGAAATCTGAAACTTATTACAGACAGATTTGTCACTGGGTTAGGCAGGTTGGGTAAGGCTTTCGGGGCCACATAACAACGTGAAACGAACGGAGTGCTTTATAATTTTGGATGCATTCTAGTTAAGGGGAAGGAAGAGATGAGTACAAAATTTATACAGTTACCCAGTAGAATGGACATCTCATCTAATTTGCTTTATTAGTTAATATTGAAGAAGAATCTTCATGTAGAAAACTTCCCTAACTAGTTCGCAAAGTGATACTTTCACGTTCTTTGAGCAGCTGAACAGTGCGGGCAAGAAGTTATCATTGTTGATTTCCAACCTTCTAATCCTAGGCGTTTTATGTTCACGATTTCTTCCAGAGAATCCACTAGAAATGTTACTGAAAAAAGCCCAAAATTGTGAACTGTGTATCATTCAGGATACACAGTCACATATTGTAGATATAAAGAAGCTGCTTTTTCGGAAAGCATTTTTCCGAAATTGTTAGTACCGATGTAAGGCTTTTTTTACCTGTGCGTGTCAAATATTTTGTAAAAATATTCATTTAAAAACAGGAACAATTTGTGCGAGATATGCAGTTGCTCATCGCACCTTTAAATATTTTCAAAACCTTCTTTTGGGTTTTTCACCTCAATTTTTTTTTGTTTTTTAAGAAGACAGAATTTCCTCATGTTTTCTAATACAAATTTCTTATCACAATAATGAAATTTTTTTATTAAAAATTCAACCATCCCTTAAGCTCAAGCTGTAAAAGACAAATTCCAAGTAGTACAGAAATTAATTCGTAAAAGTAGCGTAGCGTTTCGGTAGCAAATCTGCTATCGTTCTCAAAGCATCTCTTAAAAAAAGAGAATAATAATTAATAAGTTGTTAAATAAAGCTAGTTGAATAAAAATCAGTGAAAATTCGTTTTTAAGAAGTGAAATTTTAAATGTGAATGAAAAAAAAATGAAAAAAAATTAATTTATTTAAAAAAGAAAGTGTACAAAATTTATTAAAAATTTTGGTAAAATTTAATGTAGGTGTATGTTTTATTGGTCTCCTTCAGATTTTAGCGTTGGTAACCATGTATGGCTAAAACTAAATGAACAACACAATTATTTCGATTTAGTAAAATGAATGCACTTTCCTTGATTTTAGTTTTTTTGTTGATGGTTTTTTGCTAAGTATTGAAGCATTCTATTGAATTTAGTTACGATTCTCCAAAGCATGTTGACAAATATGTGATCCCTAAAATTCTTCATTTTTGAGATTTCCCCTATTCAAAATTTATCACATTGGCAAGAAAACTTTCAAATTAAGTTTTCTGTAATTTCAATTTTGTCCGCAGGTTTTTTATGAATAATTCGTTCTTTATTGTGAAATAAGGTTACTCTTAATCAGTCTGTAAAACAAGAGCTGATGAAACTCCGTCTTTTTTAAAAACAAAAATTTTCAGGCATAATTCGCAACAAAAAGGCTTTGAAAACATGAATCCACCTCAATCACACCGAACCCATCGATCTACCTTTAAATATGTTTACCCCGAGTTTTTTCTGCCAACAACTTCAGCAATTAACAGAACAGCCAGCCCACATGAATTGTAATCTAGTTTTGTAATCTCTTCAATTGCAACAAGAAAATAATTCTGTATTCAGACGTTGAATTGTAAGTTTGTTGATCGGAAGAAATTGTATTTTCTACAATTTTAAGGGGACTTTGTTTATAATTGGCGCAGTCGGTAGGATTCCACAGTGATCCCCATTTGGTTTCGGTCGCGTCTCTTTTGAGAAGCTGTGAATTGATCCGAACATTTGAGTTTTCGCTCTTCAGTGCAATTCCGAACCCTTGGAGCATCGGACTACAACATTGGCCGATTTGGAAAAAATTCAGATATGGATTTTTTATTTTATTTTTCCTCTGTTTTAGGCATTAATAGAGAATTATTTCAATTCAGCGTATTAAACACAGCCTCTAGATTTTCGCATATTTCCTGCAGAAGAAAGGTTTTATGTTCGACGAAATAGACGAATTAATAATTCATCTTGAAACTCTATCTGTGGAAAATAATTCAGCAAAGATGAATCCTGGAACTTCTCCTGGAGCCACGAAAATCAATTGGTAATTATTTAAATCAAGAATTGAATTAATTAAAGAATACAATGGAGATTGCATTGTATTAAATTAGATTACCCAAAAATGTGATAACTTATTAAGCATAAATATTTGAATATTTATATATAATATGAAATAAATATTTTGAAAAAAGCGCTCTAAACTAAGCAACTTTTGTTGCCGGTTATACGTTTAAAAACAATATGCATCTGAAGAAACCAAATAGTTTCGAAAATGCAATCGCACTTTGAAGAGCGTTAAGTTAAGTAAAGTAAAGTAAAGCGTTAATATCAAGTTGTAAGTTTGTTGCTCGTAATAAGTTGTATTTTTTTTAACAATAAAAAAGACTTTATTGGTAATTTTAGTGTTCAGCGCTAAAATAAATATAGTTTATTTTGGCGTTTAGCGCGGATATACTGAGGATTAGCGGAAAATGTCGAAAGTCATCGAATTATCCCTATAGAAGGCTTATTTATACTGATCGAATCCGAGTAATTTCGGGTGAAGGAGAAATTCTCCGATATTTGAATAAGAAAATGTACCTATTTTGCATTTACTGTTTTGTCCTATTTATAGTTTTTGCTTCTTCAAAGCAACCAGTTAATCTTACTTATTCCCTGCTAAGTATAACTCGCTAAAAGCCCGACTTACCTTCTTCATGAATGACATAACATTTGTTGGCAACATTTTGCTGGTGATTGTCTTCGTAATTTCCAATAAGTTGCCCCAAACTCCTAAGTCACATAACGATGGGTAGCTTTGTCAATGTGCGGAAACATATCCGGTCTGCAATAAAAAAAAACACTTTTTAATAGTTATTAGGTAGTAGACATAACTCAATGCAATATTTACAGGGTATGCCAACGAGAAAATAAAGTTTACAGTTTTTTTGATACAATTTGCTTATAGATTTCCAAATAATCTGTTATAAACAGTTCTTCTGTTCGTTTTTTGATAGAAATTTGTTTGATTATTGTTCCAAATTGGAAGCTAGAAAGGGATTTCAAAACTGTTTACAAACGACGAAGGATTTCAAATTTATTTCAGATTAAGATTGTCAGCATTTTTAAGTGAAACTTTAGAAAATTGAKCATTTTGATGAAATATTAACWTGGCCAAAACTGGAAAATTCTGAAATTTGAAGACATTTTAAAAATATTRTTAATAAATGGCCTTTAAAATAAATCTAAAAAAAGTRAAAAAAAGTCATCAACATTTTCCCAGCAACGRAACTGAGTTACTGCGCCGGTGCGTTGGGTTGGCGCACCAAGCCATTTGCGCAGCACTGCGCCAACYAGTATAACGCTATGAATGGGATTTTTTTAAATTAGAAGTTCAGAAAGTATGTAAACTTGTCCAATTTTCGATTTTTCTAATGCAATAACTCCTAACCAAATCTATTAAATAAAATCAGAGTTGATTATCTCTATAAAATTAAGTATAAAAAGTAATTAAGCGCAGCTTTTAAATGCAATTTGCTATTCTGAACTGTTATATTGCAAATCATTCTATAGACTTCAGCTCCATTGCGCTTTGGCGCAATCAGCTCCAACATTCCAGAATAGTTACGGGGAAGGCGTAACTCGTGATCACTTGACTGCTCCATAGCTAACTATATCTAATTAACCTTCATTGTCGTCTTTCTCAGGGGAACTAATATTTCCGCTTCAGTAATTGTCACAAGGAATTAGCAACACCTGAGGGTATGAAATTAATAATTTCCTCGTTATTAATTAAACCTCAATTTTCTAATGTATGTAATTAATTCTCCCATGTCGTATTATTTCGCGAGCAATTCGCAACAGAGCCACATGTATAGTACATGAATGGCATAATAATGACTGCGAAGATTATTGCCAATTGCCTGCGACGTATCCACATAAAAAAAGGAAGGCGTAATGGCAGTAAATATATTTTAGAGAAGTTTCATGCATTGTTGTGCATAACTTAGTACCTACATACCCGTTCAAAATTTGTTAAAATAACTAAAAAAATGTAATTAGTTGGAAAGTTGTGTATGCAGATGGCACGGTGCTAATCACTACACATAAAAGGCCTGATGATGTACCAAACGCATCCAGCACGTTTGGGATGCTTCACGAAAGTGGAAGACCAAGTGAAAGTAAGTGAAGCACAACAACCTACGAAGAATAACAGAAGGAACTTTGTAGTGCGTGAGAAAGTGGCAACTCCAGCAATACATGCAGTGGCAAACAACCAGAGTTCATAAAAAAGCCGCCGAAACTAACAGGCACTGCACCTTCACGAAAAATGTTAAAAACCGACTAAACTGAAAACTCCAGACAGGAGGACAGAAAGAGAATTGAGAGAGTCAGAAAAAAAGAACATGAAAAACCAATCAGAAGAAAACTGTGATCAAATGCAAATAACTCCTTGTCTTACCAGGGGACACAGGAAAAGTTATGTAGTCATGAGGACGAAAACCTCTGATGGTAATATCGGGACGTTATTGTGTCCTTATCACTTACAGAAGATTAGAATCTGTTTCCAAAAACTGCAAATTAGATGCTTAAGGAATTGTCATCCTTTCCAGAGAACATAAATGGTCTAATGACATAAATGGTCTGGAGACGAAGAAATTGCCATCGAGACTCTATGGTTTACCGAAGACTCATAAAGTTTTCCAAACCAAAAGTTGGCTACACGAGGGCTTTTTTTGAAACTGTAATCTTCATTAAATCAATCAGCATCCTCCAGCACATGGTGCATTCACTGTCCTTTTTCACTCTATACACTGCGCCGCAAATTTAAATCAGCTTAAATATTCCCCAAATTTTGACTGGAAAATTTCAACAATTTTTGGACAAAACTGAAATAATCGGATTGTCCGGGGTGTTTAAATAGTGTGATTTTTCCTTGGTCAAAGTTCAAATCTTTCTGGGGTAATATGGGGTAGACCAGAGAGAAAAAAGTATACGATCTTATAACCTCATGTGTTTGAAGCTGAGAGTGTGGATTTTTCATCGTCTGTTTACACTGAGCACTCATTCGAGAGATATTCATTTTTTATGACGAATCACGTTTTTTGCGCGAAATGCACTTTAACGTTTTCTTACTTGCGAAGAAAATGTTTATTTTGTTACTATCTGTGCTCTGTCAATTAAGYTGTTAAAGTTTTCGTTTTCTTAAGAATAAAGCAGCGGAGGTGCTAGGGGTGTGCTRCCAAAATTTGTCTCGCCCAACCATTCGTCCAACCACTTTTAATAGTGATATAAATAATTGCGAATTAAAAAAATCAGATCAAATTCGASCATAATGATAGTRAACRTGWAAACACTCCGAGTTGTTCGRGAATTGAGAAGTAAATTKTTAASTATTTRATATTAATAAATTATTTTCTAATCTAAATATGGGTACYTACTTGTTTCCTGCCAGGGCAAGRGCCAAAGATTTTCATATAGAGGAAAAAGGAGTCATTGATTTGGCTCAATCGCTACATGAACTTTCAAGACAGCCTTAGCAAGTTTTTCTAAAAAGCAGTATGATTCTGATCTTCGTAGTTTTAAGTCCATTTATTATTTATATCTTGTATCCTTGGATTAGGTACAGCATTCTCAAAGATGCTGTATTCCGTTTTCCTTTATAGATTTTTCTTCAAATAAAGTGGAAAATAATTTAAGTTTTGTTACTGAAGGCTACAAGAACTGGAAAAGGGCTACAGAAACAAAAGCTGGGTTTAAAAACATGATTTAGTACATTTAATCCAACTACCATCATTTTTTAAACTTAGAACGTATATTACTTTAGCTAACCATTACCAATGTGATATAGTTTGAATTGAAAACGAGACAAATTTATTACCAGATACCATTAAGAGTCCAATGAAGTCACAAATAATCTGAAAATAAACACTTTAACAGATCTCCCACTTCTTTTGCAAGATTTTAGTTTAGTCTTCCATGAAATGAATAAACTATGTAATACAATGCTGTACCATCTTCCAGTGCAAGTTTTGAAAGAACTTTCAGCACTTTAAAGGTAATTAAACATTATTTAAGAACAACTATGAGTCAGGATAGGCTTACTGACTTGGGCATTTTGTTTGTTGAAAAAGATATTGCAAAAAAACTAGAGATTAGTTAGATTAGTTGCAAAAAAATTAGAGTAGATTTTAAATCTACTTTCGCTTAGTAAAAACAATTATTCAATTCAAAAAATATATTCGTTTTTAATAGTTTTTACTACAATGTTAGTGTTGTAGCGAATTTGATTCAGCATTTGTTTCCAACATAATAACGTTTAAAAAAATGTTCACAGTTGTGAAATAAATTTTCGTAACATTTATTTCGCTATTCTACGAAAGTAGATAAAATATCTTATAATATTTGTATTATAAATTCATATTGGGACACTCAAGGTGTTAGCAGGTCAAACTCTGTTAGCTCCTTGTTTGACAAAAACATGTCGTTATAAGTGCTTATTAAAAATGAATCTTTGCAACGCTTGTATGTTATATAAAAATAACTAAAAAATATTTTACATTATATTCGGCCAGAGAAGAACACAAAATATTTTGTTAAACGGATATATTATATCCAACTCCTACAATTACAAGTACAAATATCTTCTGCCCATCTTGAAAAATTTTCCGCCGGCATTCGCCCAACCGGAAAATAAAACTGGCGCCGCCACTGGGATAAAGAATTCTTATTTCCACGCCTGAGGATTAATTCCACGTTTTTGTTTAGTTTTTTTATGGAGTTACATACGGAACAAAATTAGCTCTAATCTTGTAAACAAATTATGTTTGCACAGCTTTCTTCCGAATTGAACAAAATTTAAATAAAATCCGTAAAATGAATATATCTCGATTGGCTCAAGATAAACAGGCGATTGAAGATCCAAATTATTCAGAAGACATGAGGCTTATAATACCATATAGTTTTTTGTGGTTGATATTGCCCTTAGACGGAACAGAGGATTTAAGCTTTGACCAAGAAAACATGACCCCATTGAAACACCCTGTACAATATATTTATTACATTTTTTGCTTGCATTTTCTCCTAAATTTTGTCCGAGACTAGAGCTATGACTCGATAAAAAATTGTTTAGTCGGATTACCGATTGTGAAAATATTCGCCATCAAAAGTTGTTCAATTTTCAAAAACATACATTTCTTAAAATATAAATTTCCATATATCCAATTAAATTCCGCACACATTTCATTGACATATTGATCTGTACTCAGTTTTCTAATCGATTATTACATTTCTTAAAAATATAAGTTTTATTAAAGAACTGAAGTCTTCTTGAGAAATTAATATTGATATGCTCTCGTTCTTTTCAACTAAGTGCTAGTAAGTCCTTAAAAAAAATAAGCACAATTTTGCTTCACCACCTACGCAAAGATCTCTATTCAGGCATGAAAACACCGATCGTTCCATAAACAAATTATTAATCAAAATCAATTGCTTCAAAGATCAATTCTCTGTTGCTACTGGATTTCCTGCGCGAATGAGAACAACTTAATTTAAGATTAGAAGGGCAGTAAAACAAGTAGGGGCGGCTAATCAGCTCACTCAACAATATGATTTACGGTTCGGAAGAAGAGTGTTTATGTAAAAGTCCGTTGACACAGAGAATAGTAACTAAAAATAAAATGTGTAATTAAGTATATTAACAAGCAAATAGTTACGCAAAAAGGCCCTGAAAGTTGATGAATCAATAATGAATTGAGTCATAATAATATTCAAATAAAAAAACATATTTATTTAACTCAATAACTCGCGTAATAATTTGCAAAGCAGGCCAATTAGAATAGGGGT